TCCTGGAATTCTCAGCTACTTACACTAATAAATCCCCTTTGTGCACAGATTATTATGAATTGTAGATCTCTCATTTTCAATTGAAGGGGACAGATTTTTAGAAATTAGATTACTTAGACATAAGTAATGAACACTGATTAAATAATTTTATCAAATTACTTTTTAAAAACGTATTGATTTATATTTTTAATCAGCAGTTTATTCAAAGTAATAATAGAACAAAAATAGAAAAATAATAGAAATAATAACATAGCATTAGCAAGAAATATTTCATTAAGTACTGTTATATGCCAGGCACTGAACCCAGGGTTATCTTTGCCAAGGAGTAAATTATACATATGTTTGCTTTCCATCCGTATACATACTCATTGTTTACTAAGGGAATATTGAAATAGACATTAATAAAATGGGCCAAGAGTCTTAAATATACAGAATAAATCATATACACTGTAACTTATTGTATATGCCTTTGTTTTTCTTTTAAAACTTTTAAAATAAAAATAGCTTGCTTAGCCATTGTTTGCTAAAGAATATAAATGTACAACAAATAAAACCCAATGTTTTCGGAAAGGTAATGCTATTCGTCATAATATGTAAATCTCTGTGACCTATTACTATGGAGACTACATTAATTATTCAAACTGGAGCAATTGTAAGAATGAAGGGGAGAGCTCTTAATAAATACACTGGGATACGCAGTGTAAGTTGAAACTGTTCTCTGCATAGTGGGACATATAGTCACTTCATTTCATATAATGCCTATTTTTTACTTAAATAAAGAGATGGTGTTGTATTGGCAGACATTTTGAACTCGGACCCACACAATTATTTGTGGGTCGAGAGACTTTCATCTTTAACATGTGGCTTCTACGAGTACACTGGGTGTTGCCTTTGTGGAGGATTTATGGATCATGCCTGGAAATGAGACAGTCATACTCACCCACATTCCATTGGCAAGAACTCAGTCATTTGGCCACATCTGAATACAATGGTGGCTTCAAATTGTAGTCCATTTAAATACTCAGGAAAAAAGGAAAAATTGTTGAGCAACAGCCAGCCAATATTTTTCCACAGCTTAGAAATAGAACATTTTAAATAATCTTTGTTTGTTTATAAAAACATGTAAAAAATTGGATCCAGAAGAAATACAACTGTAGGTTGATATTATATTTTATCTCTTGAACATTGTTAATCTGATATTTCTAAACTAGCCCTGAAAGAGATTCAATTAAAATATATAAGATAAAATTTATCTCCTATTAAATTACATTATTCAAAAATTCTGTTCCATATAATTTTTATGAGAACCCATGTGCCCAATCCCATTTTATTTCACCAACTCTGTATAATATAAAGAACATGGGCTTCTGAGTCAGAGAGACCCGAGTCACAATCGTGATTACTGTTTATTAGATGAAGGATCTTGAAGAAGCTACTTAACCTTTTTGAGCCTCAGTTTCCTGTCCTGTAAAATGGAGGCAAATGCCTATCTCAGAAAGTTGTTGTGAGAATTAAGTTGAATACTTAACATGCCAAGTTTAATGCTTCTCCCATAGGAGATGGTCAATAAAGCCAATCCCTTAAGTACTCTTTCTCTTAGAGTACCCTTTAAGTACTCTTTCTCTTAGAGTACTTCGATTCTGTGGGATTAAATAATTGCTACTCCAAACAAGTGTCCCCTCTCACTGATTAATAAAGCATGTCAACTGGAAAGACATCATTTTAATTTCAAAGTGCAGACATTTTGTAGTTGCTAACGTGTTTGCAGAAGTTACTCTTCTTCAAATACAATTTAAAAATAATTTAGTGCAACAAACTGTATTACCCCCACCTCCCTAATCTCGTATGATGACCTCACACATGGAATTCATCGTTCAAAAGATTTCTGAGATGTTATGAGTGCAGAAAGGCACAAACTCATTTTCATGGCATAATAAATTTAATTTTTAATCAAAGGAATGGAGAGATTTTTTTTTTTCCAGAGATAATGGTGCCTTAAAAGATAGTTGAGAATAGGGAAGAATGATGTGGAAATAAAAGGAGAGCTCTCAGGACCTGACAGTGTACCGCCGCAAGTTCATGCTCTAACAATCAGTGTGTGTCACAAACCAGGTGATTCTTCGGGAGGGGAAAGGTTGGATGTAATCCTAGCAATCTTCGCCTCTAAGTCGGCTCTTCAGCAGTATCTTTGTTTGGGACTTTGGTAACACATACAATTGACTTGAATGTTAAGGCTGCTTTTTACCAATGTCTCAAAAGAATTTGAAAGCCAAACAGAATTTATCACTAGCTACTAAAATCAGAGCAGGCTGTAACAGAGTTTAATTTTTTTTCTGAAAAGCAAGAACATGTTGGTTTTCTGAGACCTTAAGTCGAATGACCTGAGTGCATATCTAAGTGATTTTCAAAAATGTAGTTATCACCAAGTCTTGCCTATAAAAATCCACTTTATTAAAAAAAAAAGAGAGAGACAGGGTGCTCTGTCATCCAGGCTGGAGTGCAGTGGCACAATCCTAGTTCACTGCCATCTCGACCTCCTGGGTTCAAGCAATCCTCCCACCTCAGCCTCCCGGTAGCTAGTACTATGGGTGCATTCCACCATGCCCCTCTAATTTTTAAATTTTTAAATAGAGATTGGGATTTTGCTGTGTCACCCAGGCTGGTCTCGAACTGCTAACCTCTAAGTGATCCTCCTACCTCAGCCTCTTAAAGAGCTGGGATTACAGGTGTAAGCTACTGTGCCAGGCCAAGAGCCCACTCTTTTAAGTCTACAAGTGGTAATAAATACTATTGCTGCTTATAGGATTTATAATAATATTAAAGGACTAATTTCATTCGAGGTTACGTTTGGTTGCTTAATAACTTTTGGGAAGGGAAGAATCCACTTGGAGCTAAGAAAATACAGGCACACCCTGAAGATTCCTGTTTCCATTTTCACTTTTAACCACCTGCCTTATCATTCCATATATTCCCTGTTTGGCCATGACCCTCATTGTGTCCCTTTTCTTGATGGCTTTAATTCCCATGAGTTTCTGACTGCCACATACTCTATCTTTACTGCACCTCATTTATTCAAGGTGCCAGATGAACACTATATTTTATGATAAATGAATCTTGGCCAAGTGTTAATGAGCAAGGACTAGAAAGCTGATTTTTGGTAATATATGCATTTTAGCTGAGACATTTAGATAAATTTACTCCACGCTTGTTTTCTAAAACATAAATGGCTGACATTTTAGGCTTGCACAGAGCTGATTTTAATGACACTTAAATATAGGGTGGACCATGGTTATCAGCAACCCTGTGTTCCTTTGTGGCAAGAAAAAAGGTTGGACCAAATTGATTAGCCTGGTGGCTCTTTATTAATATTTTGAAGGACTGTCTGTAAAATAAATTGTGGTGTGGTGCCATGTGCCTCCAGGGACCTCTAACACATTTTTAGTGCTTGTTAAATTCAAAGTGATGCTGAAATTATAGGAAAGTAGTAACAAATTGACCAAAGTTTAATAGCAAACTTTCATTTTCTGCATCAAGCATTTGCTGAATACAGATCTAGAAATTTAAATCTGTCCTTCTCTGGAGATGAACAGGTCTCATGAACAGACCAAGAAATTTGCCTGTAGGCTTTCAAAGAGTTCACTTGAAGGTCTCCTTTCACTAGGACAGATGACTTAGAAAGAAGGATGGCTGCAGAAATCTTGTCTTTTCCAATTTCACACTTTTCTTTCCTCAGTCTAAGCTTATAAAGATCGAATTTTCCCTCCTTTTTTGCATCATTTTTCATATCTTAACACAGGGCATCTCTCAGATTTCTGCTCAGATCAAGGGCAGAGCTAGGCAGATCAAGGTAGAATAAGTTTTAGCTAAATGTTTATGCCAGTTTTGAAAATTTACAGCTTGCATGGAACACTTGCAGAGGTCATGGAAAAAGTTTTTTTTTTCTTAGCTAAATTACTTTAATTTAGCCTAACAAACACAAAGTCAAATGCAATGCAACCTATTCTATGGTGCATAGCTTTCTAAAATAAAATTGAAATTTATCCCAGAAGACTAGAAGGCATTCCAATGTTTTGAAAATGAGTGATAAAAGTAATTGTTTATTCTTATCAAGCAGAATGTTCTTTATGGAGGAACAATGAGAAACCAGGAGATTCCACAGCCAGATGGGTGGCCTTGTGTAGACAAAACACAGCTGATTATATTTTGTACTTTGGTGTCAGGTAGACACAGCAAATATTCATGACTCATTCTATAATGGATTCCTTGTCTTTTCAGGATTCGTATGGTCAGCCTTCTTATGAAAATTTAAAAACAAAGTTTGTTTTTTAAATAGTTATGGTCTGTTAAATTTTCATAAGAAAATGTATGATATGATATTATATGATATGTTCAACTGGTAGAATCATAAATAAAAGCTTTAAAGTTTATGTTTTCAAATATCTCCACAGGTTTATGCCATTAGTATGTCAGACTCTCAAGTATATTATTGTATGAGACTCATAATTATCAAAGCCTCAACAGTATTCAAATGTGATGTTTACAAAGTTAGATCCCCATAATTATATTGATATAATCTATACAGATGAGAAATGCTCAGTTAACTGTTTAGCAGTGGTTTACTCTAGGTTCCCCAGGTAGTCCAAAATCTAGAAGGTTTTTGACACTGTTGATTTGATTGTTAGTATTATTGTCATCCCACTAAAATCAACACTAGTTGTTTCATTGATTCAGGTACTCACCTGTATGTGTGCGTGTGTGTGTGTGTGTCTATTTTAAGCATTGGCCAAAGGTAGCAGGTGGCACAGATGGCTGTCCAGATCTTTTGCTTTACCAAAGTAGATTAGAGTTTTTAAAAACAACTGATTTCAGATATTCTATAATTTCTACTGTCTAGGGGAGACACTGAAGGCTTTTTATCATCTCTTGAGATGAGCTGATTATAAAAGAGTTTTCCTGGTGTTCCTCTTTAACCAAAATCTTCTCATTCTCTTTCCTTGCAGGGCCCTAGGCCTTTGTTTTATGTGATATATCACTCTCCTTCTTCCCAAAGCAAAATGAAAGGAGCAATTATATCCTTGATGATTCTTAATTGTCGCAATTAACAAAGTCAGTTTCTGGAGTCTGAGCTGAAAATGAAGCTTAGAATGCACCTTCAATACATGAAATTTGGTAAGTCCATTTGAATCTTTTTTTTTTTAATCAAGAAAATGTGAATATTTGAATATTGAACTGTAGTCACTATACTGGTACTCTCAACTTAGCTTAGAATAAAAATATGTTCTCCCATTATATTCTTAGTTAAATTAAAGGGAAGAAAAACACAACAAACAAAAAACAATATTATCACTCAAATAGATTTTATTTTATTTGTTTTTTACAGCCCAGAGGTCTTTATTTTTCTTACAGCGATTCTGCTGTGAATTTGTAGGGAATAGGCTCCAGCAGCTCAGGCTACTTTCCACTTGGTCTCACAAACTGTGCTTCTCCAAGCAGGCTGGGGCTTCTGTTGAACCCAGGTGACTTTCTCTTTGACGACTTTTTTTTTTTTTTTTTTTGAAACCAGAATCTTGCTCTGTCATCCAGGCTGGAGTGCAATGGCACCATCTAGGCTCACTGCAACCTCCAGCTCCCCGGTTTAAGTAATTCTCCTGGTTCAGCCTCCCGAGTAGCTGCAATTACAGGCGCGCACCACCATGCTCAGCTAAGTTTTGTACTTTTAATAGAGACGGGGTTTCACCGTGTTGGCCAGAATGGTCTCAAACTTCTCAGCTCAAGTGATACGTCCTCTCTGGCCTCTCAAAGTGCTGGGATTACAGTTGTAAGCCACTATGCCTGGCCTGGCTTCCTTCGTGTTCTGATTATTTTCTTTCAAGTGTTTCTGGACGCTATCCTGGCTCTTCAAGTGCTTAAAATGCTGAACATGTATATTAATTCTCCTGGCAAGAACCTTGCCCGTACCTTGTGTGTTGACAGCAATGCCAACAGCATGCTGAGGAACACTGTAGACTCTTCCGGTTCTGCCATGGCAACACTTGCACGGCACTCCCTTTTGAACAGTACCCATTCCCTTGATGTCTACAATATCACCTTTCCTGTTAATTCCCACGTATGTGCCCAAAAGAGCAACTCCATGTTTTCCAAAAGGCCTGAAGAACATATAGCAGGCACCTCGTCTTTTTCTCTTTGTGTTTATCATTTTGGGGAATTACAGAACAATGGAGGTTCAGGCCAAAAGGCTTAACCAGATATTATTTTAAGCAGTAAGTTTTCACTTTTTCCAAATATGATCCCCTTACATCCAATAAGCTCGTTCTCCCTGTATTAATGTTAATTTGTCAGTGAGTATCAGTATATCAAATAACTTTACTAAATACTGGTATAAAAAAGCACTGTGCTAGCCCAATAGGCAAATTAAAACCTAAGTTATGTAACCTGGATGTGCCCTTTGCTTATATATGGAAGAATTGGAAAGATTCATTCATTAGTGGCTGTGATATATAAAGGAATTTAAATTGAAAGACATTTTGGAAAAATTCAAATATTATTACTAAGGGAAAGTAAAAATAAATATGTTTCACATCATTGGATATGAAGAAAGCAAATGAAATATCTCTTAATCCAAATAAAAAAATAAACAGCAAGAAAATACAAATAGTTTATACTCTTTATACTCTATTAAAAGGCAATACTCTCAGAAAGATTTAAAATCTGACTGTATACTGTTTTACAAGAGACATACCTATTACCAAATGATACAGAAAAGTTTAAGATAAAAGGGCAAGCAAGCATTTTTTTTAACATAAAGGCAAATAGAAAAGGTAAACATACAATCTTTGTTTCAGACAACATTAAATAAGACAAAAGCTGCTTTTTTATATTTTAAATGGAACAATTATCATCACATTTCTAGTTATGATAATTTATGAAAAATAATATGGCATTGAAATACTTGCAACAAAAAATTTAGAAATACAAGGAAAACAGAAATTGAGTTGCTTTGGGTAAATTAAGAAAACTTTCCAGGCTTATTTAGAAAGATGCATATGTACTATTTTCTTAGGCATTTTTAATGGAGCATGACCCATCTAGTTCTTGGCAGGGCCTGGAATGAGCAGGCTCAGACATTTTTCTTAGTTTAGGTTACATCCTGCCCTAATAACTGTGTTTATTAACAACTGTTGTAGAGATACCAACATCTGTAGAATGGAATTCATTATTTTGCCCTCTGAAACCAGTTCTGTCTTGGATGCTAAAACCCACTAAATTGTAACACAGTTCACTCAAGCTGCTAAGCTGTAAACCTGTCATCCTTGGCTCTCCTTATCTCTAAAATTGTATCTATTGAATCTGTCTTCTCCTTTCCCCCTCGCTATCACTGTCTTATTTTAGGCTTTCTTTGATGTAGCCAATGTTGTCCTTAACACTGGACTCATACAAACCTGATTATACCATTTTCTTTAGAAACCTTTGTTAGTTTCTTTTGCCCAGGTTATAAGATCAAAATTATACTCCTTACGTGGTTGAAATACCCTTAACAATCTGCCCTTCTCCCCGCATCTTTCCAGATTTATCTTTCTCCATTCTTCCTCTAATCTTCCATTTATTTAAAATATATGTTATTGCTATGCTAATTTTTAAATAAATAACCAAAGCACCAGACCCATTTATAACTGTTCTTTGACCTACATTCTCTCTTCTTAGAATAACTTTCTCTGACTCCTTTTTTTACTCATTTTTTAAATCTTTAAGTTGCATATAATTTAATCAGTGTGTGTGTGTGTGTGTGTGTGTGTGTGTGTGTGTGTGTATGATAGATATATACTCATGTATCACTTAATGATGGGGTTATATTCTGAGAAATGTGTCATTAGACAATTTTGTCATTGTGCAAATATCATAGTTTACTTACAAACCTAGATGGTATAGCCTGCTACACAGCTAGGCTATATGGTATAGTCTATTGCTCCTAGGCTGCAAACTTGTATAGCATGTTACTGTAGTAAATTCTGTAGAGGACTGAAGCACAACAGTACCTGTGTATTTATTTACTTTTTTGTTTATGAGGTTTTGTTAAAACTAGCTTTAACATTAATAGTACACCATACAAAGGTAAAATAGGGTTTTCTCTTCTGAACAAAATGTGTAATATTAAAAGATAAAAGACTTTGTTTACTTTTTCAGTAAACTGCAGGAAGAAAATGGAACAGCAGAGACAGATTTATTTGGCTTCATGCTGTCTTTATTAGGTCTTACTGTTTGGGAAACTGAACCTTCTCTTTATTAAATGGAAAATGTTTCTGTTTTATCACTGTAGTTAAATAAATAACATTCTTTAGTGACTCATGATCCTGTTTTGTGATATCAAGTGTCTTAAAACTTTGATATTTGACTGACTTTCCAATGGCAAAATTTCAAGTTCTAACTTCAGTCTTTTTGACCTTAAACAAACTTTCTTGGATATTAGGTTCCCTGAAGTCCCAGGGAGATATACTAGGCTTATTAGACTTATTTGTTATGTTAGTATACAGTAAGCCTTGTCAGATGTAAGGAGGTATTTAACTTTCTTTGAGTTATATTTATATAGATATGTTGTTCATACATGTTCCAGTATTGTATGACATTCCTGAAAATCTGCTATCTTAATATATGTTCTCAGTAATACTTACGATTATCATGTTAAATTGTTGTATGCCACAGAAATAACCAAATTTCCTTGTCAATGATGTCTTTGACTATGGCTGTCCTAAAAGTTTTGTCATTCACAAATGTTGTTTTTATTAACACTTCAATCTCACTGCTTGTTATTGGTTTATTCAGAGTTTCTATTTCTTCCTGGTTTAATTTAGGAGGGTTGTATATTTCCATGAATTTATACATCTCCTCTAGGCTTTCTAGTTTATGTGCATAAAGGTGTTCATAGTAGTCTTGAATAATCTTTTGTATTTCTATGGTATCAGTTGTAGCATCTCCTGTATTAGACTGTTTTCATGTTGCTGATAAAGACATATCTGGGACTGAGTAATTTACAAATGAAAGAGGTTTATTGGACATATAGTTCCACATGGCTGGGAGGCCTCACAATTATGGCAGAAGGCAAGGAGGAGCAAGTCACATCTTATGTGGATGGCAGCAGGCAAAAAGAGAGCTTCTGTAGGGCAACTTTCTTTTTAAAACAGTCAGATCTCGTGAGACCCATTCACTATCACAAGAATAGCATGAGAAAGACAAGACCCCTTAATTCACTCATTTCCCACGAGGTCCCTCAAAATGTGAGGATTATGGGAACTACAAGATGAAATTTGGGTGGGGACACAGAGCCAAGAGTATCATTCTGCCCCTGGACACTTCCAAATCTCATATCTTCACATTTCAAAACTAATCATGCTTTCCTAACAGTCCACCAAAGCCTCAACTCATTTCAGCATTAACTCAAAATTCCATAGTGCGAATTTTTCCAAAGCAGCTGCATCATTTTACGTTCTTACTATCAATAGCAATATATGGGGGTTCCAGTTTCTCTATATTCTCATAAGTTGTTATCTCCCTTTTTAATTATAGTCATTCTAGTATTCCTTTCTTTCTCACATGACATATAGATTCTTATAAATAATGCTTCATGCTTTGCTTTTTTCCACTTAACAATATATTCTGGAAATAACAAGGCATCTTAGAGGAATTTTACTCATTATTTTTATAGCTGCGTAGTATTCCGTCATGTAAATGTATCATAATTTATTTGATCCTTCTCCAACACATGGATATTTGGTTTATTATCACTATTTTGAAAATATGAACAATGCAGCAACAAATAACCCTGTGCATATTAGTTAAGCCTATGCATAATATTCATATTATTGGAAAAGTATCTTCAGGATATATATGTGGTTGTGGTAAATATTGTAATATTTTTATCCAGAAGGCATAAACCGATTTTCATTCCCATAAGCAGTGTATGAGAATATTTGTTTGCTATAGCCTTGTCAACAGAATTTGCTGTGTTGCTTTTAGATGTTTGCCAGCCTATTAGGTGAGAAGTGGTATCTTAGTGTTAATTTCTCTAATTTTATTGAGACTGGTTTTTTTATGGTTTTTGTCATTTTTGAATCTTTTTAGTGAATTTTCTGTTCCCTTAATTATCTTTTAAAGACGTTAGTAAATAATGAAATAGTCTTTTATATTTATTCACATTTATTATTCCTAGCATTCTGTTTTCTATGTATTCTAATTTCCATCTTGTATCATTTTATTTCAGCTTGAAGAACTTCCTTTAACATTTCTCTTAGTGTAGATGTATTAGGGACATATTTTCTCAGCTTTTGTTTTTCTAAAAATGTGTTTACTTTGCCTTCATTTTTTGACAGGTATTTTACTAGATAGAGAATCCAGCCAGCTGGTTATTTTCTTCCAGTACTCCATGTTGTTCCACTGTCTTTTGGCTTATGCCTTTCCTGATTAGAAGTTTTCAGTCATTCTTATTTGTTTTCCTGCCAATACCAGCCCTTGGTGTGTAACCCTGAGCCCTCAGTAAGGACCTCTGGCTACAAGTTTTCAGGTGAGTACAGTCCTGTATTGTCTCTGTACCTCCTTCAAGTTTGTAATGTCACAGTTACCCACACTTTGCAATTAAATGCTAATAAACAATTTGGCTGGTACCTCATCATCCTGCTATTTTTCCAGAGATAAGAACAGCCTCAGATCTTTTCTCTCATATGAAAAGTTCATTACTTTCTAGAATTTTGTTCATTCAGGTTTCTTTGTGCGCTCAACTTTGCAATAAGTTAAAAGTAAAAGAGTGACCAGGTGCAGTGGCTCACGTCTGTAATCCCAGCATTTTGGGAGGCCTGTGGGTGGGGGGTATGAATCATGAGGTCAGGAGTTTGAGACCAGCCTGGCCAATATGGTGAAACTTTGTTTCTACTAAAAATACAAAAATTAGCTGGGCATGGTGGCACATGCCTGTAGTCTCAGCTACTCGGGAGGCTAAGGCAGAACTACTTGAACCCAGGAGGTGAAGGTTGCCCTGAGCCAAGATCATACCAGTGCACTCCAGCCTGGGTGACAGAGCAAGACTGTAACCAAAAATAATTTTTTTAAAAAGTAAAAGACTGTGTTTTTGTAGCTGCTCCAGATGGGTTCAGTTGTTAGGATGATAATAGCAGTCTCCTGTGATACGGATCTAATGGAATATAAAAGTCCATGGCTTCAATCAGAATGTTTGTAGCAACTTCATTTAAATCACCTGTACACACAGCCAATGTGTGCTTATTCCACAGCATTCATTCATTGAACTCCCTTCTTAAGACACGATCACTCTTTGTTTTACTGTAGGAAATGTGAGTTTTTGCAAGGAGAGGTAAAGTTTAATTGTCAAACCTAGAATTAAGTGAATCTGTAGTCTCCTATGATAACAAAAAGAGCGATTGACGTGAGTTTTGAAAGCTTAGCATTGTTAAGAAGATTCCAACAATATCATGTTTAAAACAACTAGATTAAATAGTAATAAAACATTTAATTTTAGTTATAAAATAAGCAGATTTTAATGCTTTGTCCTCTCCAATAAATTGCAGTTTTGTTTTTCTTTTGAATTTCTGTTGAGCTGACACTTCATGCACAGACATCAAGCAGTGCTCAAATGCAAGGCTCTATGAAAAACAAAATTTGGGGAAATGAATGCAGATTACTAGCTTGTATTACATTCTCTTCTCTTATAGTATATGTCAAAGAAAAGATTTAATCAGTTTCACCAGTAAGATCATATCACTGCCACTAAGTATTTTAATGGCAGAGTTTAGGCCATAGTTTTCATTTGTATTTGAAGGTATATGGATTTAGATTATTTTATTGTATTGGATTTAAGATGCAATCATTTTCATAAATGACCAAAATATTTCATTTCAAAGAGAAACATTTCTAACATTTCTTTTGTTTTCTAAAAGAGTAGGAATTCAGAGGGATTATGTTACTTTTCATTTGAATAAATGTCAGCTATTGGGAAGAGAAATAAATTGCCTTTACATCTAATTGTATCACAGCTGATTTTGGAATAATGAGATGTTTTAATTTTTCAGAAAATGTTAGTGTGCTATAAAATCAATGTTCTTTCTATTATTTTTTCCAAGGTGAATAATCTAAATTTATTAGTTTTTATTTAGCGATAGATGATTTAATAATATAAGGCTATTCATAGCTGGTTTAGAAAAGTCTCTGAATGTTTCATTCTCTTGGTGTTTAAAAACACTTTCAAGTATTTTTACAAGTATTTGTATAAGCTGAGTTCCCTTTGTCCAAGGCATACTTTCTCCATGTTTATTTTTCTGTCCATTGCTTCAAATGAAATGGAGTGAAGTATATGCAGAGAGAGTTGCTTTTTCTTCTCCATGTTCTTACCTTGCCCATAGAAAAACTGAGAGTAGCCATCAGACAAAAACATGTTGGTCTTTAGGGAAGGTCCTATGTGTGTATAGTTGGGGTAGGAGGAGATATTCAGAGTGACAAATTGTCTTTTCTCTCTTCTTTTTCACTAAAATCCCTCCTCACGTGGAGGGTTGTACCTGAGTTCTTTATTATCACTTCTGCAACAGTATGGCAGGCCAGGAGGAGCAGGGCAGCATAGGGAGAAGAGGGATCCTGAAAAGCCAGCAAAAAATACTTCGTGCCTTGAGTTTGTTGAAGCTTTATACTACCCAGGCCAGGTGGGAGGAGATATGTAGTCTGTGTGATTTCATCGTATATCACCTGTTAGGTACTCTAGAAGTGAACTAAACTTTCCCCACTGACGACGTGGTGGAGTGGAAGATAAAAAGACTCTCGGTTTGTTGAGGGCTTTATAACTTATCTTATTATCTTAATCTCTACAATTTGCAGTTTGTAAAATACTAGGGTAAGCATAACCCAGACTGTTATTTAACTTTACCTGTGAGGTGATTGAATGGAGAGGATGATTAATCAAGTGTATACAGTCTGCAATGGCAGAGCAAGGATGCAGACTTCAATTTCTTCTATGACTCAATAGTGCTACCCTGTCACCACTTTGCTACTTGAAATTCTCCTATCTGGGCAGTTGCAGGTTTTAACTTCTAGGAGCACTAAGTACTTGAGTGTGTACTAAATACATCTGTGCATATTGTTCTAATGTGTATATATATATTTGCTAAATCCATTAGCAAAATTGCTTTATGTAAATGAGAAAAGTTGTATCAGATAGATTGAAAGAAATCCAAAAGAGAATCACAGGAAATATGAATACTCAAGTACCCTGAATTTTCCTACTAGTAGTTTGTTCTCTGGGCTCTTTTTAAATCTCTATCCAGAGATTTTTTGCAGTTTAATAATGAATTCCCTTGTCTCCTGTCGTGAAGTCAAATAATGTTTAATAACTACAGGCATTTTAGCTTGTTTGTCCAGTCATTTTTATTTATTTAGTTAGTTAGGGTCTCACTCTGTACCCAGGCTGCTGCAGCCTCAATCTCTTGGGTGCAAGTAATCCTCCTGCCTCAGCCTCCAGAGTAGCTGGGACTATAAGTATGTACCGCCACACCTGACTAATGTTTTTCTTTTGATTTTTTTTTAAAGGAATAGTCTCACTATGTTGCCCAGGCTGGTCTTGAATACCTGATCTCAAGCAATCCTCCCACCTCAGCCTCCCAAATCCCTGCTGGGATTATAGGTGGGAGCCACTGTACTCTGCCTGTCTATTCATTTGTTCAGCACTTATTGAATCCTGTCTAGATACTAATCATTGTATTTGGTCTAAGGATTAAAAAATGAAAAGCAATTCCTGTTTTCAGGGAGGATGTCACATTGTGAACAAGACAGAGAATTTAGCAGAGACCATGGTCTTTATATTGGTTACAAAGTAAGGATTATATACACTTGTTTGTCTTTCACTATGCCACTCTCCTTTCCTATTGCTGCACAGCTGAAGAAAATGGAATTCTGCTTTACCATATGCCTTCTGATTCTGAACGGCTCTGCAAAAGCCCGGGGTTCTATCTATCTGTTATATAAACTAAGGAAGGATATCCTTTCACTCACAGAGTTTCTCAAAACAGTTTCTCTTCTCTAGAAAATATTCCACATCTATCTCTGTGCAAACATTGCCCAGTATAATTTTGTAGCACAATACATTTTACTATTGTGATGAGATTTGGTTTTCTCTTAGAGTGGAGACTCTTAAAGTGTGGTTTGTGGAAGCTTGAGGGAATCCTGAAGAGTCTGTGAAGCCAAAACTATTCATAACAGTAAGAATGTATTTCTCCTTTTGACATTTGCCCTGGTGGTGCAAAGCCATAGTCGGTTAAACTGTGGTGCTTTAGCTGTAGGCGGTGGGCCCAATTGTTGGCAGAAGTTACTGTGATATAGGCAGTGGGCCCAAATTGTTGGCAGAAGTCACTGTGGCCTTCTTCACTACATAACAAAAAAATAAAGTCAGTTTGCTCTGAGCATGCCCTTGAAAAGGGAGTACAAATAATCACTTCTATTACATTCCGTCCTTAAGTACACATCTTTCCAAATATATTCTGCATAAACCACTCTGCTGCACAATGCAGTATGACAGCTGCCTCAAAGAAAGCATTTGTACAATTGTTTGAGTTGTGAGCTGAACTAGCTGGGATTTACACAGAACACTATTTTTACTTGAAAGAATGACTGACAAGCTATGGTTTTTCAGTCTTGTTATTTGGTAGGTATTTCCTCAAAAATGAATAAAATGAGCTTGTTGGGAAGACACTGACAGTATATGTTGTCCATAATAAAACCCAACCTCTCAAGTGAAAAACTAGAATTTTGTAAGACTTGTATTTGCTACCATAAACTTGAAAGACATCAATGTTTAAAGATGTTTCTGATGAGATTAGTGATGATTTTAAGAATTGTGGGCTTTTACCTATATCTTATAATTAAAAACTTAATTAGAAAATCTGCATAAGAAATACTTTTCAAACGACTCATACATGATAGCACAAAATCAAATGTAGGTAAATGTTTAAAGTGCAAAATAGTCCAATAGATTTTTACATAACAGAATGAAAAAGAAGTTTTATTATGGTTTCAGATTCCATCTTAAAGAAAGCATCACTTGCTGAGTTTTGGTGTAGTATCAAAGAAGAATATCCACAGTTATCAGAAAGATTCTAAAAGATATCCTTAGTCCCTTTTCAACTATAGACCTCTGTGAGGCTGGATCTTATTTATTTACTTCAGCCAAAAAACCCCAATACCACTCTATGTTATATATTATAATAAACTGAATGTAGAAACAGATACAAGAGACCAAGTGTTTTCTTTTAAGCCAGATATTAAAGAGATTTGCAAAAATATAAAATAATGCTACTCTTCTAATTAAATGTTTTTATTTTAGAATATATAATTATTTTTTATAAAATTGCTATTTATGTTAACATTTAACTGGATAATTATTACTTTAAAATGAATTAATAAATATATACCTTAACATTTCTCAGTTTAAAATTGTGAGTATTGATGTTGTTGATATTGATACCTCAATAAAGAAAAGCTTTTTTTAATAATTTACAAAATCTTTTTATTGTGAGCTTCTTTATACATACAGAAAAGTTGTAAAAATAGTACAGAGAGTTTTCAAATATCCTTCTTCCAGCATTTCACAATGTGAACATCTTACATAACCATGGTATACTTATCAGATCAGGAAATTAGTACAATGCCATTAACAAAATAAAAACCCCATTTAAGCTTTTCCATTAATGTCTTTTTTTGTTTTTGGTTCCAGGAACGGGTTCAGAATCCCACATCACATTCTGTTATTACTTTTGACTGGTCTCCTGCTGTCTGGAACAGTTTCTCAGTCTTTCTTCATTTTCAAGAGTGTGAAAAGATAGCAAAACCAAAAGTCTGGGAACTGCTGGTTTAGAGTCACAATACTGACTTCTCAGAATGACTTTTGTAAGTAAAAGTGCTTTTAGCATGTAGATATACTTGTTATTGTACACATTGTTTAAAGTATTTTTATTTAAGCAAATTTAAAAATTCTTCCTGTTCTGACAACTTGGCTAATTGTTACTACATGTAGTTCAAAACAAGCTAAAGGTTAAACCAGATAATGCTTGTCTATTTTAAAAATAGATATGTCTAACAGTATTTTAAAAAATTCCCACCAAAATATTCATAGTAACTTATTCTGGTGATCTAAAGTATAATCTGGCTAGCTCTAAAAATATTGCTGACGTATCTCTACATGGAATTAACTTACCAGTGAGAGGATGATAGTTTGTGATTGATTACTAAGACTGAAATTTGGCTTTGTCTAAATAAATCTTATTATTTTTTATGCTTCAAATATACTGAATCAACAAGTCAGAGAAAAACTGAACATTGAGTGGAAACAATTACCCATTTGTTTTCCTGGAGACTCTCTCAATGGCTTACACAGGAGTACATTCTATTTCCAGATCTATTTGACACAGCAGCAGAGATGACCTTAGTTTGTACAAAGTCATTCCCTGTGAAAACATTACAGTTCAGAATTAAGAGAAAGCATATTATATTTTTAAAATATTCAATAAATTATCTATTTTCAATTATAATGGAACTTTGGTAATGCTAACATTGGACAACTGGCCTAAGAAACCATCAGATTTTCTAGTCAAGCTCTTCTTACCTTTAATTCTATAAAACTCTATGTCAGTCCAGGGAATTGGACTTTGGCAACACATCTAAGTTCATAGAATGACAAGGCTTTAGTGTATTATTCTGTATTCTTTCTTTCTTACTGATGCACATACTTTGATTATCTTAATGGGTTTCAGCAATAGTTTATTTAATCATTAGAGAAACATGAGTAGAAATTAGTACATTTAGTAAAGAAAATATTCTTCTGCAATTATTTTATTGAAGGTTTGATAGTTGATGTTTACTGTAAGTTTTGTCTCAGAAAATATTTATGGACTTTTCTCAAAATTTATGAGATATTTAAGTTAAATATTAAATAAGTACTATATTGAATATTTTACATCTTCAAAAAATTATTTATGTAAAAATAAATTTTGGATTGTAATAAGAACAGGAGAAGAAAGCTACTTCAGAGTTGATATTACCATGATAGCAGCTGGATTCCATAGCAAAAATCTGCAATCAGCAAAGGGTACCAACCACATATACCTAAATTGGGTAGAAGAAATTCAGCTTCCAGGATTTTCCTTTTTCTTTTGTTTGCCTCGTGTTTTAGTCTACTTTTATGTTGCTGATAGAGACATACACAAGACTGGGAAGAAAAACAGGCTTAATTGGACTTATAGTTCCACATGGCTGGGGAGGCTTGAGAATCATGGCAGAAGGCTAAACAACTTTTTACATGGCAGTGGCAAAATAAAATCAGAAGGATGCAAAAGTGGAAACCCCTGATAAACCCATCAGATCTTGTGAAACTTATTCACTACCATGAGAACAGCATAAGTAAACTGCCCTTATGATTCAAATAATCAATCTCCCACTGGGTCCCTCCCACAACACATGGGAATTATGGGAGCACAATTCTAGATGAGATTTGGGTGGGGACACAGAGCCAAACCACATCATTCTGCCCCTGGCCCCTCCAAATTCCATATCCTCACATTTCAAAACCAATCATGCCTTCCCAGCAGTCCCCCAAAGTCTTAATTCATTTCAGAACTAATCCGAAATTACACAGTCCAAAGTCTCATCTGAGACAAGGCAAGTCACTTCTACATATGAACCTGAAAAATCAAAAGTAAATTTGTTACTTCCTAGATACAGTGGGGGTGCAGGTATTCAGTAAACACAGCCATTCCAAAGGAGGAAATTGGCCAAAACAAAGGGGTTACAGGGCCCCTGCAAGTTCAAAATCCAGCAGGACAGTTAAATTTTAAAGCTCTAAAATGATCTCCTTTGACTCAAGGTCTCACATACAGGTCATGCTGATACAAGAGGTGGGTTCCTATGGTCTTGGGCAGCTCTGCCATGTGGCTTCACAGGGTATAGCCCCCTCCCAGCTGCTTTTACAGGCTGGTATTGTCTATGGCTTTTCCAGGTACACCATGCAAGCTATTGATGGATCGATCTATTCATTCTCAGGTCTGGAGGATGGTAGCCCTCTTCTCACAACTCTACTAGGCAGTGCCTCAGTAGGGACTCTGTGTAGGGGTTCTGACCCCCAAATTTCTCTTCTGCACTGCCCTAGTAGAGGATTTCCATGAGGGCCCTGCTCCTGCAGCAAACTTTTGCCTGGCATCCATGCATTTCTGTACATCCTCTGAAATCTAGGCAGAGGTTCCCAAACCTCAGTTCTTGACTTCTGTGCACCTGCAGGCTCAACATCACATGGAAGCTGCCAAAGCTTGAGGCTTCCGCCATTTGAAGCAACAGCCTGAGCTGTATCTTGCCCCTTTTAGACATGGCTAGAGTGGCTGGGACACAGGGCACCAAGTCCCTAGACTTTACACAGCATAGGGACCCTGGGTCCAGCCCACAAAACCAAAAACTTTTTTCCTAGGCCTCCAGGCCTGTGCTGGGAGAGGTACTGTGAAGACCTCTGACATGCCCTGGAGACATTTTCCCCATTGTCTTGGGGGTTAACATTTGGCTCATTGTTACTTATGCAAATTTCTATAGGTGGCTTGAATTTCTCCTCAGAAAATGGTATTTTCTTTTCTATCACATTGTCAGGCCGCACATTTTCCAAACTTTTATGCTCTGCTTCCTTTATGAAACTGAATGCCTTTAACAACACCCAAGTCACCTCTTGAATGCTTTGCTACTTAGAAATTTCTTCCACCAGATATCCTAAATCATCTTTCTCAAGTTCAAAATTCTACAAATCTCTAGAGCAGGGGCAAAATGCCACCAGTTACTTTGCTAATGCATAACAAGCATCACCTTTGCTCCAGTTCCCAACAAGTTCCTCATCTCCATCTGAGACCACCTCAGCCATCCTGGACCTTATTGTTCATATCACTATCATCATTTTGGGCAAAGCCATTCAAGAAGTCTTTAGGAATTTCCAAACTTTCCCACATTTTCCTGTCTTCTTCTGAGCCCTCCAAACTGTTCCAACCCTCTGCCTGTTACCCAGTTCCAAAGGCACTTCCACACTTTCGGGTAAGTTTTCTGCAGTGCCCCACTCTGCTGGCACCAATTTACTGTATTAGTCTGTTTTCATGCTGCTGATAAAGACATACTGAAGACTGGGAAGAAAAAGAGGATTAATTGGACTTACAGTTCCACGTGGCTGGGGAGGCCTCAGAATCACGGCAGGAGGCGAAAGGCACTTCTTACATGGCAACGGCAAGAGAAAATGAGAAGAGTGCAAACGTGGAAACCCCTGATAAACCCATCAGATCTCCTGAGACTTATTCACTACCATGAGAAAAGTATGAGGAAAACTGCCCCCATGATTCAAATTATCTCCCACCAGGTTCCTCCCACACCATGTGGGGACACAGAGCCAAACCATATCAGTTGATGATTGATAAAGACGGAAAATAGTAAGGAAAGTTGAGAGAGAATTATTCTTAATATTTATATGTAAAACCTTAGAAAAACCTTTACTAAACTCATATTCATCTGGTTTGAAACAAAGAAGAATATGCCTCAGGTAACATCAGCTGATCACCTATTCCTTTGATCTAATAATGCCAAGCACTCTTCTAGTTTCTGAATGATACATATTCTGTCCATTCATACAAGAAAACATTTCTTCAGTGACTGTTATGTGTTAGACAACAGGCAGGGCAATATGGTTATAAAGATGAAAGAAACTCAGCCTCTGTCCATGGGGAGCTTACAGATTAGTTACAGACACAAGCACACAAACATAACATGGAACTAGCAGTAAAAGACTGAGTTTATACTTAAAGAACTAAGTGCGACAGTCCATTGTAAACTGAGTGATCATGGAAATCACTAAAGAAATGCAGCTTCACATGGACTTTGCAGCAAGGGGTGGTCTTGCGTAGGTGGAGGTGGGAAAGCAGAGGTCATTCTAGGTGGGAAGATTAAAAACATGGAAGAAAATGTACAAGAAATGACACAAAGCTAGCTTAATGAGGAGAGGGTACTGTACTGTATCTTCTCTTTCATTTGCTTCCAATTCAAAGACAGCAGTCTTGGTATTGCTAAGATAATTTTGATGGTACTTTACAAAATTAATGTTTCATGCAACTTACAACTCTAACTTATGTATTTCTCCCTGTTACTTCCCTTCTCTTTGAATCTCACTTCATTCTTTTTTTTTCTCTCTCACTTTTTAGCTTTCATCTGTAGTTCCAATAGACATTGTTCAGATGTATTAATGGCTTTGCTTTTGTAGAAGTTCTTAAGCTTGTTATATCTTCAGGACAGGTGAGAATTGGGAGGGAGGGTGCTGGTAGGTGACTGAGATTAAAAAGTGTCTTCCAAATAAAATTTTTAACCTTTAGCACAAGATATATTCCTCAAAAGAAAAATTTAATCTTTTCTTAAGGCTTATATTGTAAAAAATATACTCTTGGTTTTTGTAGTATATGAAAAATTGATATCTCTTTTTAAAAACCACTTAAGCCAAATATCATGGTGAATAGTCAAAGAAAAAAAAGATGTTGATTGTGACATCAATTTTGAAAATGAAACTATATTATGCAATGTTATTATAATTCCATCTATATGTTAACTCTTAACATGACTAAGAATGAATCAAATATTAATTTTGATTGGTATAAATTTTTAGACAAATTAATATATTAAGATATCATTTTCATTTCATGTTTGACTGTGTAGCGTAATTATAAAGTCATTTGTCCTGAAGGTCAATCTCTAATCCTTTGTAAGTCATCATTCTTGCTTCTTTCTTATCATTCTGTCCCTTTTCTCTAGACTGTTCACTAGTCTAACTTTACTAAGCATTAATTTGTCAAAATCTTTGTGTATGTTTCACGCAATCTTCCAATTTTAATTTCTCTATGCAAGTGATTTTCATGGCATTATTGGATGGCCCAGATCAATAAGAGACAGATGCCCAAAGGTATCACTAAACACTAGAGTTATTTGGGAAATAGTGTGAATTTATTAGTGAATGTTTTCAGATTAGGATTTCTTTTGCTTATGTATGCAACATCACAACAGAAAGCACACATAGAATGAATAGTTGGATAATAAGATGACATTTCTGCCTACGTATAGAGTCTCCCAAGTGTACTTAGTTCCATTTTGGGGATTATTTTAGGCATCTCCAGAACTCTGTTTGCTTGGTCAGACAGACAAACCATTCGTGCAGGGATAGATTTGAACTGATGGATCCTCTTCTAACCTGTCGGAATATCCTGCTTCTCTGCTTAGTTGCGGCTGAGGGAGCAATGATACTTAAAAAAAAAAAATCAACATGTATCTTTTTATATATTTATTTGACAAATAAAAAATATGCAGATTTACTGTGTACAACATGATATTTTGAAATATGCATACATTTTGGAATGACTAAATCAAGTTAATAACATGCATTACATATGTTAGCATACGTATTAGCATTGTGCATTACAAAATAACATACACATTACATATGCAACATTACATATGTACATACCCATAATTGTATATCTGTTTTTTAATCTCAGAAACTTTTTTCATGAAGGGTGAACTGATTTTATGATATTGTTTTAGATTAAAAGTTTTTTAAAAAGTAATCTTTCTCTATTTTGTTGTTGTTTTTGTAAGTTCCAATTTGTAGTTTAATGGAAATACTGACAAAAACTGTTTATTATATTATACTGTTATATTTTGTAGTCATCTGCTTGGCTTTACTATTTAAAAATGTCACTTGTATCAACCTCCCCCCAAATACATAATTTAAAAAAATGTTTTATTTTAAGATAATGATACTATTTTGTTATGAAAATAGGATAAATTGATTGAGAGAAAATGTAAAAAATACAAGAAAGTGGAGAAAAAGTCACCAGAACAACTGACATTTTTAATATTTTCTTTCAGTTTATCCCTATGCTAAATAGACTTTATATATTTCAAATCAAATTGCAGATGATATTACACTTTCATATTTTTGCCCTGTAGTAAGAAGAAAGCCTTAAAAACCCTTGATTGAATGGTTGGTGTCTACAGACAAGCAAATGTATGGAAGAGTAACAAGACATCCAGCCTGAATCTGTTGAATGAACAAAAGGGGAAATGCCCTTAGGAGTCAGATGGAAGAAGGTTTTCTGGGAAGAGCAGAACAGAGGAGTTGGGCCTCAGACCTCCTGGGTCACAAGCAGGAGGAGAAGAGTAGGGAGACTTTAAAGTGATTGAGACGAAAATGGAAGTAAAACAGCTTAAGGCTTTTTGATACCGGGTTCCTGGCAGCGTCATTAGCAGATGGTTTCTTCTGAAGTTCAGGGGAAGAGAAGATGGTTGAAGGACTCTCCAGGGACTGAGTGGGTGTTACGGAGCCAGTGCTGTAGATGCTATGTATACAGGCGAATTCCCCAGTGAGTGTTTTCCAATATCAAGTTTAACTGGCATTGAAGTTGTATACCAAAGGTAGGTAAATTATTTTGGCCTGTGCTTATAGGTTTATTTGACTCGAGGAAGCTACCTGTCTCTGTCCTACTGTGCTGTAGCAGATGCAGGGTCTTTCCATACAATACATTAAGAGCTACATCTCATTTTAAATATTTTAAAAGAAAACCTGATCGTACAAGTCAAGATTTTTAAGATCAGCTTTCGGTCAAATTTTTTTGCTTTATTTTTTTCTGGAGATCAAAATGAATGTTTAACTGTTTAAGTTGATTGCAGAGAAAGTTGCTACTCATTTAAATGTAGGTTTTTAGAAAAAGTGTCCTTGCCAATTGCTTCAGTTGACTTTTTCAAACTTGCATGGGAATCAAGATTCAGATGGGAAGAGCCTGGAAAATAGGCAATTGATCAAGAAGGTGGCCCAGATACTTTAAGACCTTTTTAGTGTATTTGAAAGGTTATAAGTTTGAACTAACAGAAACTTTAGTGCTGTTTTCTTTTCACAAGTCAATGTGTAGTATACCTTGTTATTCTTTGTTTTCCTATAATATCTTAATAATATTCCTGGCTGTAAGGAAAAATTAACATTATACATACATTTTGACTTATTTTATAGATGACCCAAACAATATTTAACAAAAAGATTTTTCTCAAATACTATTTGGAGATAACTATATTAGACACCATCTTAAATTTATTTCTCAACATGCTTCTTTTTGAGACTTCCAGATTTTGATGCTCTTTTCAGCATCACTCATTTTCTTTCATAATAAAGATACCCAATTGAAATATCATAATAAAGATCTGATAACAAATCTCCACTTTTGAAGTGTTACATTTCATATCTATGTGTCCACTAAGAATTCAGTATGAAGATTGCATATACCAATGAATATTCCCTAAGCTTAAAACCTCTAAGTCTAGGATACTTGCAGTTATTTAGCAAATAATTTAATCCATGGCAAACATGAGTCTTAATACAAAAATTATTGAGTAGGCAAAAAATAATTTAATGTATTTGGGACTGATTACCAGTGCATTAAAAAAGTAGAGGTTTAAGGATGGGAATAATACGTTTTTTTGTTTTTACTTAAATTTATATAAAAGGAATGAAAATACAGAAAATACAGTAGCCTATAGTACTTACTAGTGTGGTTATATTTTCAGCACTTAATAATTACTAGTTGAATTATGTAATGTAGGACTATATCTGATATGGTTTTGCTCTGTTTACCCACCCAAATCTCATGTTGAATTAAAATTTCCAATATTCGGGGAGGTACCTAGTAGGAGGTGACTGGATCATTGGGGCAGATTTCCACCTTGCTGTCCTCATGATAGCGAGTGAGCTCTCACAAGATCGGATGGTTTAAAAGTGTGTGACATTTCCCCCTTTACTCTTTCTCTCTCCTCCTGGCCATGAGAAGAAGTGCTTGCTTCTCTTTCACCTTCTGCCATGATTGTATTTCCTGAGACCTCCCAGCCATGCTTCCTGTTCAGCCCCCAAAACTGTGAGTCAATTAAACCTCTTTTTTTTTTTTTTTTTTTTTTTTTTTTTTTTTTTTTTTTTTTTTCATAAATTACCCGGTGTCAGATAGCTCTTTATAGCAATGTGAGAATAGACTAGTAAAATATCTCTAGTACTATGTTTTTGGAGATGATTTTAAAATAAACAAATATTGGAAACCTCATTTGATCACATGGAGAACATTAAATGAAAGTTCTACTTTTTTTCCAGGGCCTTTCTCATGCTTAAGCAGGGATTATTCACCCAGATCTTCTCAAATAAGGTATCCAATTAGGTACCTGCTATCTCATCATGTAACTGACAGAAGAAAGTTGAGCATAGAGGTTAAACATTACCTAATATTGTTGGAAAAGCTTCTAAGCATTCATTTTCAAAGTAGCTCATGTAAACCACGATAATCACTAATAGCCATTTTAAATACTTCAGTATTTTGTAGTTATTAGATTCTAAGTAAGTATAAAATGTAGTGAATAAAAATTTTATTTGCCAAAACAGTGTTAGAAAATATAAATGAATGAGTTATTTTTATTCTGTTTAACATTTAAAAATTGTATTTGCCTAAACAGTGTTAGACAATATAAATGAATGAGTTGGTTTTTATTCTGTTTAACATTTTCAAGCCAATAAACACTTTACTAATAGTAGTATAGAGTAGCTATTCATTATTACTCTGTGTCTTATGTTTATGATGTTAGGAATGAATAGAGATGGTTAGCTGCCTGGGTATCTGTTGAAAATTCTGCTTAAACTATGTATTATTCTATACATTTCAATAATTTCTTAGAGATTCACTTTGTAGTTTAGTTATATGTAATTTATAATTCTAATAGGAGTCAAAACATTTGTGGGAAATGCTCTCTGACAGTTACAGCTTGATCATGAGAACTGCTTTTAAGGTTTTAATTAGAAAGGTCAGCCTGCATTATTTAAACCCTTCCTATGTATTCTTCGTATGCAATTCATTTTCCAGTGACTCAAGGGAATTAAAAGAAAAGTCTCGCAAAAGCAAACAGTAATTTTGGAAAATATTTATAACTGAATACAAATCTGTAAAACTCTCCTTACTTTGAGTCTCGTTTGTCATAAGTTTCTAGCTCAGCATTTGATGGCTAGCTAACTCAGGAGGTGCTGGTGTTGGGCAGGGTAACCTGCTGAGTCTGATGGTTGTGATTTCTATGGCTATGGTTTCTTTTTAATGTAATTTGGTCTTGAATTCTGTCATGAGCCTGGCCATAAGCCAGGATACCTGCCCTCCGGGAGAACCCTGATCAATGGAAAGTTAAATATGGGTGTGTGTGTGTGTCAGATGAGACACAATGAGGAAGTAAAACCAAAATGTATGAGACAGAAGAAATTTATTACTCACAGGACCAGAGAGGTAAAGGGTGCTGATGGGGGGACGGCAGGAAGCTCAGAGGCAGCAGGGAGCTCAACATGTGGGTGTTGGGGAAGAGAGACAGAGAAAGAGAGAAACCTGTGGGACTATAAGTTTATTAAGGTCCATGGGCATTATTCCTTCGGCTTTCCTGTGATAGTTGTGGATTGGCTAAAGAAAATACAGAAAGGGAGAACTTATTTACATAACTCTGATGTTAACCATGTGTTTTATTGTGGTTAGCAGATGTGGGGTGTGTTGGATTTTCGACCAGTGAGAGGAGGCAAAAGCAGGCCATATTTTAAACAACGACTATGGGGAGGGGAAGTTTTAATTGAGCCAAAGCAATGGGGTTGGACTAGGTTTCAGACAACTTACATCAGGTCTGAAACTGAATGCTGAGGCAGCAACTATATTAACAAATTTATGACAGTGATGCTGGCATCATTTACTGCTTTTAGTTCAACCCTGCAACAGGCTATCAAACATAACCATTTTGCTTTCTTATACTTGCAAATTAGAAACATCATTAAATAAGCTACGTAAAAAAATAAGATTTTTAAGAAATAGTTTCTAAACAGAATGGCCAATGCCACTGATAGACATAAAATAATGACCATGCTTATTCTCTTTCATTATTTGATCAGTTTATCCAGATACATTATTCAACACCCTTAGTCATAAAGTTCTTGAAGCATCATTTTTTGCTCCTCATAGTTCGTATTTTCTTGCACTTCTAAATCTATGGTTAATGAACAAAGCATGCACACACAATCATTTTAAAATAAGTGTAGTCTGAGGGAATTTTTAGATAATCTAGAGATTTTTAGGTAATTGAGAGTTCTGAAAAGAATCCTTCAGAAGTCAAACCTTGGACTCTTGTAGCAAGAAAACAAACAACAAAATGTAACCTCTATATGAAAGAGACACAAATAGAAAACAAGGAAATCCTTAATATAAAGAGGACTCAAGTCAGTTAAAAAAGCAATATTTCTTTCTCAGGTTCAGTAATTCAGTATTCATAAGAGATATATCTCCCTCCACCACCATGACCCTTACACATACGTGCTGCTCTTTAGCGTTAGCAATGAACTTTATTATAACTAACTTATTTTATGTATGTGTAAAATTAGCATCAGGTCTGAGATGAACTCCAAGCCCCTGCATTCTTGCCTCTCTTCTCTGGAATTACTGAGGGACTACGAACTATTGCACCAGGAGGGGAGAATATAATGGCCAATTTATTAACGTGTATCTGCATATATCTTGTTGTTATTTGCAAATCTTAATGCTAAGCAGTCACTTCAAGTTTTATAGGATGTAATCTGGTACATGTAAATAAAACTCAGATTTCTTGAAAGAAAATCATAAAAGTAGCATATTGCAATCAAAGAGCAGATGTCTTGTGATGTCAAGCTGAATATTTATGGTCTCACTATAAGCCAATCCCTGAAACTGACAACAAATTACAAATTATTTGAATATCTTAAAGAGAATGATTTTATTAGAAAGGTGTTAAACTTTGCTTTGCAAACAAACAAATAAAAAGCAAAAAGATTTTTAGTTCTAAGAAAAGGGAAAACCCCCACACAATACTGAAGTAGAAAAATTCAACCATGTATTCAAGAGTTTCTGATTACTAGTGACGAGTGACCCAGAACAACTAGGTTAGACTTCTTTTAATTAGATTGTGCTAAGTACTCCAACATATGTGAAAGATGAAAAAATTATTCTTAATTTGATTCTTGCTAATTTAAATTCTCAAACAAATTAACATTAGTGATTAAATTTGACACATAAAAATGTTTAACATCTTATTTCTTAGTTGGCCTTGGAAGTGTTTCTAGTTTATTCTGGCTCTTCTGCAGAAGGTCTCAAAAAGAAATGTGGTAATTTATCTTCTGTAGTCAAACATGTCACTTTTGCTTTTTATAATGAGGCAGAGAGGATACTGTTATTCACCATTTTTCTGCTATGTTAAGATTTGGAAGTTCATTTGGTAGAACCATAAATAAGGTCATCAAAATCCAAATGCTTAAGTGAAACTTGAGCACCCTCTACAACATTCCTAAAGTGTTATTTTGTCTTTGCTGGATATTACAGTGATCTGTTAATCTGATCCATTTTTAGAGGGTTGTATCATTCAAAGTTTACTCAATGATATGGTTTGGCTTTGTCCCCACTCAAATCTCATCTTAAGTTGCAGCTCCCATAGTCCCCATGTGTTGCGGGAGGGACCCACAACACAGTGAGAGGTAACTGAATCATGGGACCAGGCTTCTCCCGTGCTGTTCTTGTAATAGTGAATAAGTCTCATGAGATCTCACGGTTTTACAAAGGACAGTTTCCCTGCACATGCTCTCTTGCCTGCTGCCATGTAAGATGTGCCTTTCCTCTTCCTTCACCTTCCACCATGACTGTGAGGCCTCTCCAGCCATGTGAAACTGTGATTCCATTAAACCTCATTTTCTTTGTAAATTACCCAGTCTATGGTAGGTCCTTACAGCAGTGTGAGAACAAACTAATACACTCGCCTAAAATAATTTTGATTGAAGGCTCACTATATGACACAATCCTAAGAAACAGAGATACCACACTGAACCACGCAGTCCCTGGCAATGTGGAATTCAGAGGCTGTTTTTTGATATTATGTCAAATTCTACCTAACTTCTATCTTTTGTTATCAGTCTTTCATATGTCAGCCTTATATTACTAATCTGCAAACTTAATGAGGTCTTCTTTTGTTAACTGATCTCTAAACTGATGATGTGTTCATCAAATCTGAAAAGAAATATTTTAAAGGTGAAAAATTTGAGCTGGCAGTGGTATAGGTTACCTGTAAAACATTTCGATAAAAATATGCATGATTCCGAGGCAGAAACATATACACTGAAAATTTACAATTTTCCTTTCTCTGGTCCATGTTCCTGGGCTTGCTTCGTTAAAGCTCAGTGAGTAAAACTGATTGACAAGTAAGGCAATGTAAATGCAAATGCCTGACTCCACAATAGGACAGCCCCTTCAGAAAGGAATTGATGGCTCTATAAATATGGTACCAACTAAACACTCATGTATTGAGGATCAACTACAAAAAATAGTATTTTGTCCTTAGAAATGTTTTGTTGTTACCTTAGAGATAGGCCCTAAATTATTTTTTAATGATATATAATAGACATGAATTATCTGTAGGTTATACATGAAAAAGGATTCAGCATATAGTCTCATGCATGAACAGACCAATTATTCTTTGAATCAAACCTTCCAACACCAATAATGGAATGCCAACCATATTTTCTTAATTGGCTCATGAATGTGTTAAGGCGACTGGAGTTATGATTCTTTGCATATTTATTAATTCTATGTTTTACTGTTTATCTTGAAATA